ATATTCCATATAAACATTTCATATCAAATAATTTTGTTATTATTACCACATATGACGTAACATGAATAATGCATTTATTATGTTCTAATGCGACGTGATCATATAACGTAGTCATTAGCAACCGGAGAATATGACTTTGGATATATAAATAAATTTAGAAAATGTGCAGAGTATTAATATGTGTTTGATCAAATAAGTAATATGCTACAATTTTGCTATCGTGCCCTTTTCGCTTTGCTTCCTGTTTGCCTATAAAATAAAGTTTTATTATACTTTCTGCACAAATGGAGATTTACTTCCATATATATCATCAGTTATAATTTTTCAATTAAATTCAATGCTTAAAAATTGTTTAATTATAGCGTGACACAATATCTCTAAATTTACAAAAACTGCGTGTAATAGCGCATTATAATTTTTAATTTCAATAAATGAAACTACTTTTCATTAATAAACCATATTTCAAGATGACAACACTGGAAAATGAGATTAGATTTTTGAGTATTATTATACTCTAATTTAGAAATTAGTATAATATAATTTTCACTTTTTTATGCGTTAAACATCATCAATATAAGACAACTGTTTCAAGATAAAGTTCAAATATTCCACATAACTCTTCACTTCGTGAGAAAAAATGCAAGATAAACAATTCCGCACGTGAGAATATTCCTAATATCGAATAATCATTTCTCAAAGTATTCAAATTTCATTAGCATACATTAACAAACAACTGTTTATTTTTCTATGACGAAACGAAGTACATATGTACTTACTATATTTCCACAAACTTTCAAATTACAACGCAACTGTTGAATACACAGCGATTGCCCTATCTATTGATATTTCCATTCAAACCACGTTTTCAATTTCAGATATTTCTTCAATCAAGTCGGATAGGTGCGAGCAGATAAGATACGGATAAAGATAATGCATCGATGTTAACAAAATTTACAGCTTTCTAAGCCTCAACCGTACGCCGGTTATTATCACGACGCCATTAAACTCAACTATTCCAAACCAAATTAATTTTCTACCAAAACTTCATTACTTACATTCAACTCCCGCAAGGTGCAGTAATCTTATAAAACACACGTAAATCCATTTTATTAACGTGAAATGTAGAAATAATCAAAATGGTATTTCAATTTTTTAAATTGTAGATTAGCTCCGATAAAAATAAAACGTAAACGTGAAAATATAATTAACACCGTGCTAAACAGTTTTCATGCATATTTTGTCGGTAATTTCAGTTCCTTTGGCGTCGATGTTATTAAACCTTATAGATTGTTGAGGTTAAATATGCAACATAATGGTGACGCAGTTCGCAAACGTAATTAAAATTCTAAAAATTCTGTGCTTTAGTATTTACCTACTCTGACATACGTACATTGGAACACTAAATATAAAAATAATACGAAGAAACCGACATACAGTAGTCCATCTAAATAAAAAAATTTACAATAATTCGCTGATTAGAAAAAAAACAAAATGATTTAGTATATTAGGTTAAAGATTTCTTAAAGCTACTTTTCAATGAATTTAAGTAATTCGAATGAAAATATAACTTTAAAATTGTTGAAGACTTTCCAAAGTTTGATTATTGTAACGTTTCCGAAATTAAGTATCTCTAATGACAAAAATGACTGCCTTTATATTAAAATTTATTATGATAAATAAAGAACCTTCTGTCCCTTGTCTTATTTCTAACATATCAAAATTTATTAATATAAACATTGTTGATTATTTCAGCTATTACAATCATACCATCGCAAGCATTTAATACGAATTATTCAAAAATAATAAAAGGAATAGTCTAAAGATAGATTATCATTCAATATTAATAATATAAAAATAATATTAAATAAATTTATTTAAATTTTGTATATCATAACATGTTAAATCATGAAAAAACTTTCTTTAATAAAAAGCATAAGCAATCTAATACATGTGTATTATACATATAAAAGCACTAAAAATAAAAGTCTAAAAGAAAATTACCATTCAATGCCAATAATAGATATAAAAATATCGCATTAACTTATTTAAATTTCATAGACGCGTAAACAAACCTTTCCAAATAAGAAGCATAAACAGCCTAGTACACTTGAAAAGAACAGGTCACGATTATCCTACATCTTGATTTTATTCATAAGAAATTGTTGATTGTAGAATATGCTATTGTATGACAAGTTTATAGCGACTATAAAGTGGACACGAAAAACCGGCGTTCCAGCTAACTAGTTTTTAATTGAAATACAAACACAATGACAGAGACAGGTCAGCGCGAATAAACTGACCCAGAATGAGCAATCGACGGCAACAGTCTTTTCCCAACAACGTACCTGGTCGTACCCGCTTATCCGCCATGATAACAAGTATCTGATTAAATTTATGTAATAGCGTGTTACACTATGTTATTGTGGAATTACTTCGATAACCTACTCTGATAACGTCGTGGTATTAAATTCACTGTCACTTCGACGATACTTTTGTCGTTGTTTGAATCAACCGTCAATCAATAAGTATGAAATTTAAAATAAATCATAGCTGCATACAATCTCAGTTTACGTCTAGAAGACTCACTAAAAACAATCTGGTTTACGGATATTTTCCTATGCATTTACTTTCTACAATACTCGTTAAATATTCTTTCTATATTAACAATCGCGTATTTTACATTTAAAGCATTCGCTAAAACGAAGAAGCATATATGTAGCAAAGTTTATACATGAAATAACGCGGGAAGTATGAATCGGATAAAAGGCTGTCCAAAAAGATGCATTAATTGTAAAAGAATTTAGAAATATCCGGACATAAACAATAACAGTCTAGGTGGACTTTTCTTATGTATTAACTTTTTATAATATACCTTAAAAATATTCGCTAACGTAAGAAAAAGTATAATAATATTTATGAACAATATTACGCGGGAAATATAAATCGAAAACTTTTCTTATGTATTCATTTCTAATAACATTCGTTAAATACTACTGCGTATTTTACGTTAAAAATATTCACTGAAATAAGAAAAAGTATAAAAATATTTATAGACGAAATTACGCTAGAAATATAAATAGAAAGGACATAGCAATAATTGTAAAGCAGTTCACGCGAACGCATGTCCCGACGGCGGCAAATTTGAGTCGCGAGAGACGCGAAAAAACAGCACGTTAGAAGACACATCGTCGTTTACACATCTACACCTCCCTTCCTTCCCACATACACACACACAGGAAACATGGTTCCATGCAACATATGTATATACACAAGCGCACGATTAAAAGAGAAACTCACTCCAGAAATAATGCACAGTATCCATCCAAGTCACGGTGGTGGAGGTAGGTTGCGCTCGTCCTGGATTATCAATACCCGAAAGAGGTTTGCGTTCAAGTTCCTCGAACCTTAATCTCAGTGGTCGTCTCACGACAACATACTTTCGTCGCCTTCACGCCAACATACTTTCGCACGGTCTTCGAAATCTCACTCACTGGCCGAGCTTCAAAAACTGAACGTGCCCCACGATAAGAACACGATAAGTGTACATTCCTCTGGGATATATTTCGCGCCGTAGGTTTTCCCGCGTTTAGTTTCGTGGATGCACACGCGGCAAAGGTAACGCAGCTAGAGCGAGACGCATACACGTATAGCTGAGAAAGAGCGGGGAAACGAGACAGAACGAGAAAGAAAGACCGAAACAGAGAAAGAGGGAAATAGAGAATGACAGAAAAAGAGAAAGACACTACGTTCGGAGCAATGGAATATGTGCACGCACTTCTCGCTTGGTCCCGTCTAGGGGAAAGAAAATCCTGCCACCACTCCTGCTCCACCTCCAATCTCATACAATATACGTGTAGTCGTGCGCACAGTTTTCAAAACAACAGGTTACTATGTCTGTATCTTTGACTTTCGATAAACTTTTAGTTTCTTTCGTTTATTAGTATCAGATTTTAGTATGGAGCGTGAATCGGTGCGTTATAGTCGCGCGCGGTTTTTCCGCACGCACACGCCGCCGCGGATCAATAATTCACCATACGAATTCACCAGAAGCGGGTGAGCGAGCGGGCAGGCACGCAGGCACTAGGCAGAGAGGCACACGTTTCTGTCGTGGCGCGCTCTCCTCGGGGAAACGCACGCAGCCCACCACCACCGGCACACCAATCGCTCCTAACCTCCTCGACGCGAGTCTCCGTCGCTGGCTGAGTCCCGTACACGTTGCCAGAGAGACTGCACACGCTTCGCGTAACACACACGTATACACACGGTTGCGTTCTCTTGACACACAGCTGACACAACGCTCGTAAACACGCGACAATCGGACAAAGACGGATGCACCGCCAAACCGCAGGTATAAACCGGCACGACTCGAGCTCTTCGTTTATCAAACTGATCCGACTATCATTTTATCACACACATATCTCTTTCTCTCTCTTTCTTTCTCTCTCTTTCGCTCCCTCTACTTTCCTATCCTTTCTCTCGCACACTCTTTCTCTCTCACTCGCTCATACGTATATACTATCTCTTCCTTTTTTAGTCGGAAAGCAATAGTAAGAGCACTAGCAGCAACACCGGAGCAAGCAATGCGAACATCACGGTCACCGGAAGTACGAACCTGACAATCACGACATACAAGGAATATGACGAGGATCGGTTATGTGTTTTTTTGCACTGAATAACGTCGCCACGCATATACATCATTCACGCACTCTGTCGAGTTTAAGTTCCTCTTTTATATATTTATCTTTATCGCACAATAGGTTTATACGTTCGTCTCTTTCTTTCGCACGAGCGTTTATCGCTCCCTCTGTCTCTCGCTCTCGTTCGTCCGTCTGTCTGTCTGTCGGTGTCCGACAGTGTGTATATCGCCGTCTCGTCGCTGCTGTCGAATCCGTTCCGTGCGCGGCCCCTGTGTGGGACGACGCCGCTGGGACACACGGGCGTGGACGAGTAGACGCGCTCTTTCCACGATCTTTCGACACTATTTTCTTTAATGTACTTACCACTGGGCGAGCTGACGTGGCGTCGCGCGCGCGCGGGGCCTTCACACCACGGGTAAAATTCGCACAGTAATATTAGCGCGCAAGGCTGCACCCCGGTAAATACGAGCGCAGTCACCACTCTTGTTTTTGGTATGCCAGGAATGGCACAAAGAATCTGGACAACGCACACGCCTGCTGCGCAGCCGGTCTGCGCACACGCTGACACCGCTTATGCGGCCGCGGGAGAAACCAGAAGCCGAACGTTCCCGATTAAGCACGAATCTCCCCGAAGTCAGCCGATTACCTACCCCCACCGCGATATACAAGATTCGCATTTCCCCACTCCCCGCGCGGGAGATCAGTCGCGTCACGCACGTAATAGAGGTTGGATGTTGTTGCTCGCTTACTCGTTTATTCTCTCTCGCTCGATGTTCGAGGGGCACTTGTTGAATTTCAGAGGTTACGTTTTAGGTTTTTCGAATAAACCTTTTGATAAATGGCAACACACCAACCGCAAAACGGCCACCTTTATCTCTCTCATACGCGTTTTTTCCATGCAATCTGATATTGGACATACATACGCTATCAAATATAATACACTCCTTTTTTATTACATGTAGGAACTGATCCGCTTCTGTAATAATAAAATATATTGTACTTTGAAAATATACTTTTGTAATTCGCAAACTGTTTTGAGAATAATAATCGGTTTTTTTTATATATTTCACTCTTTACATTAAATTTAGTTACATCTCTATCGTTTAACAATGATCACGTCACAGTCTTTTACATATAAACAGGTTCATAAACACATTCATAAACAGGTACCTTTTCGGTAGCAAACTATCTGGAGTCGTTTATGTGCATGAGAATTTAAGAAAGTAACCGATCCTTATGACGTTTATGCTCCGTTGGAAAAAGAGTTTTCACCATCTCTCACCCTTGGTATTTAACCCTTTAGTCTTGTGTAGTAATTTTCTTTAGATTCAATTCGTCAGGTTCACGCCTTTCTTCAGACTTCTGCTCCAATTTCAAGGTCTTTATGTATGGAATTTTTAGTGAGTATATAATTCATGTGCGCCATAAGCGCCATACCTTAAATCACGTTTACCGACAAGCAAACGATATAATTTCCTATCAACTGTACATATCGATTTCATATTTAAGATTTCAATTTTATAAATATGAATTTTTATACCATTAAAATGGTAAATATTTATTACAACGTTATATCACGGGTATATTTAGTATGTTAATAATTTTTTAACAATAAAAGTTAATGATATATAATTATAAAATAATTATTTGAAAGAATTAAAATGTTAAAATATAAATGAATTAAAAATTAATTATTCTCAAGCTTAATTTATAAAGATGTAAGTTTTTTTCATATTTTGTTTTATAAATTTGCAAATTAGAATTCTTGTACTTAACACTTACTAATTTTGTTACAAAAAATACATGAATTGAATATATTTTTGTAAACTTATCAAATCAGTAAATTCTTTACTGCTCGGATAATCAACTTTCTACCTTATCTACAGAAGTCAATTGTAACTTGAAATCTTATCGGAAAAACATAAACTGTGCTGTGTAATTTTTTATTTGTACAGACATAAATATGCATTTAAATATAATTATGACATGAAACTAAACGTCCATTGTTATTCGAATTATTATATATCTTATACATATATGTAAAACACGTACGAAAACAAATTGCTTTGAAAAATAGAAAGTGAACAAAAAATATCTCCCAAATACGTACATATGAACCTACAATAACAATTATAACTGTGATTATTTAAGTTTATAATCGCAAATAAAATTATTAACGATAAATAAGCTTCATTTTTTGGAATTGGATACGTTTTTATCGCTTACAAAATATATAATGTATAAGTATATTAAAAATTTCTCTTATTTAATATTTAGTGAGAACATAATTTTGAAGTTGCTTTTTTAACTTTCTCTCTCGATGTATAATAAACTACAAATTTTTAGAGTAAAAGCCAACAACATGGTAAAAGTTTGTTCACTTATGATTTATTAGAAATTTACTCCACTTATATCATTTACATAATTTACTTTTTATAATAAAAGGTATCAGATATATGCGTAGTATAACAAAAACTTGTTTAAGTTATACTATTCATAGAGAAAAAGAAAATTCATGTGTATCATATTTATATATGCGACAAACCGTTCAACCAATCAACAAAACTGATTGACGCATAAAGCGACACAAAAATAAAATAGATGTCGTATGTATACAATGGTTCACAAAAGTATTTGAACACAGGAAATTTGATGTCAATTCTATGTGTTATAAGGCACGACTGTCATGATGCGATTTAATTGGTCAAACCTGAAACCAATCTGAAAATACGTAACGTTTACTGTAAACAGATATCTAGCAAAAAAATTAATATACGGCATAAATGCCCATAATAAGCGTATAATGAGTGTTAAAAGTTGAGTATTGAAGCTTATTAATATAATAGAGTGACTGTTTAAATGGTTTTATGATTTTTACAAAATATATGCAATACAGCCTCCCTTATCCGAACTAACAGGGAAACAAAATTGTTCGGATATACATAATACACGAACATACATAATAAACGTATAAAAAAAATCTACAAGTGTTTGGATACTTTTGTGAGTAACTGTATAATATTTCTGAGCCGTTGAAAGGTGGAAACTGTCGGTATCGTTGTGCACACACATGGATCGTTTATTGGGCCGATTTTAAACACGACAAAACGCTCGTAAAATCGAATGTCACGTATCAAAATGACGGTCAAAGCGTGCCTTTTGCAGGGAGACAAAAGCGGTCGTAATTAATGCTTTTAAACGCGCGTGCTGTACTGCACCAAGCTCCTTTTGTCAGTTGGACACATTGTACCTCGACAAATGTTTACGAACGACCACAGGGTAGCAGAGCGTGCACGGTGACAGTGGCTGGCAAGCCGCGGGGTTGAAACGCGCAGTTTTCGTGCGGATTTTCACCGAACGCGACACATTCAATGGGGGGAAAGGCACGGTCCGATTTCACCCGCGAGGTTTAATTACTTAATTACGTTAACGCTCGATTTTCGTAACGTGTCGACGAGCCACGCGCAGGCAAAACGATTCCGTTAGTTTCACTGCAATTTCGTGCCCGTGGCTGTCTCTTCACCCTCCATTGAAGTATAGCCGTACGATACACAGTTGCAAATTCGTTTTAGAAACGAGGACGCTTGGTAAATGAAATTTTCTAATGAAAATGAAATATGATGTCTTCTTTTGGCGTAACTTACATCTTTGGTACGAGATATTGTGCAGATTTATGTATAAATAGAGCAGGTTTCAATCTGTTTTGATTCAAACATAATATTTATAATTAAGTTAATCAAGTATTGATTACAATTTATAGATGTGTGTAAGGTAATATTTTAGATAAACTAGTGAGTGGTTTTGTAACGAATATTAAAACAAATATGGAATAATGTAAAATATATGCATTATTTATTATTTATTATTTATTATTGTATATATTATAATTCTTATTATAATATATACACAATATAATTATAACTGTAATTATAATTAATAATATTATATATATTATTTTATATTCATCTTGATATTTAAAGTTTATAAATTTATTTAAAATTCAAACATATATATGTACATTTGTAGGTATATATTTTAAATGAAGTGATAATATACATGTACATAAATATACATACATATAGTATAAGTGAAGAGATGATTTATAAGGATAACATTTTTTATTATAATTTACGAATATACGTAATATACGTAATATACAGTACATGCTAACTCCCTTTTCAAGGGAGAAAGGCAGGAAAATGAAGTTATCTATCTTATAAAAAATTATAGTAATATAACATAATCTAATATAATATAATATGTGCATGCCCATATATATGTATAATAGAATTCCCTATGAAATTGCTTATTCACGATTAAAATGACAATTATCTTTCTTCCCATGGTCTTCATTTATAAGAGTTATTTCGGAGGAAGCATATGCATCATGATTAGTGTGTTGTAAACCTCCCTTAATGTCGATAGTCGTAAAGTCATAAAATTTCCGGCAATACTCTTTTCTGCGATTAAAAGGCACTAATTTAAAATTGTCAGATCAGTCGTTTTGGTTGTAGTGGTTGTGATTGCAAAAGATTTATTATCAACTCCTTTCATGTGATAGTTGCGAGAAAAGTGGCAGTGCCGTAAATTAGTTATTGTATAATAATATATACTTTATACATACTAAACCATCATTATATTCTCTTAAACTATAATAATTACATATAATTAACAATCAAATACATATATAGAACAGTTATAAAGAAATAACTCACTTTGATAAATGAAGATGTTATCTAATAGGTGGACAATTTTGATATTACTTCCACAGAAAAAAATGTTATACATCACGTAACTAACACTACTTATGGTAATCTGTGGATTTAAATCAATAAAAAAATATAATTATTCAAACGACAATAGATAAAAAGTTAAAGAGAAAATAAATGGCAAAATTCCAATAACAATCTTATAGATATGTGTCACTCAGAAGTCAAACTGATCAACTCCACTAATTCTTTTCTCAATTTCGCTTCTCAGAATAAGCAAAATAAGCTACCGACTATGTAATAATATTAGTGAATTTACAAGATACAAGTTACAGTTTGAAAAGTTTTGTTTGTTGCACAAACAGTTTTTATAATTATATACGTTATAAGGACTAATTATTATTGGTGACTTAATTGATTACCTTGACAATATACAATAATATCAATGATTTAACTTATGACTTGTAGATAAATTTGAAAAACTGTTTCTATATTCTACGGGAAGAATTCTATAAACTATAACTTGTAACTTACTTCTTTTAAAATAATAACTAAATTTATGGTATTACTAAGACTAGACGTTTAAAGGATTTGTTGGAAAAAAATAAAAATACACTTTGAAATTCATGAATGAAATTTCATTTGGGGTATAAATGATTCAAGTTACATAGAATTAATGTGAGAATCGCCGAAAGATATTCTTTTTATCGATATTTTTTTAAAGTGGAGCTTATCGTAATTTCATATTAATGTAAAATTACTGATTAATTTAAATA